TGTAGCTAGCACGATTCCGATTTCTGAAACGATTCGAAATCTTCGGCATTTCAAACTACTATGAACATGACAATGACTAGGACAGGTTGAAAAAGGATAAATGGTTAAATTATTGAAAAGGTGGTGGATTTTGATTCATTTTTCAAAAAGAAAAAAGAATAAAGCAAACCCTAACTACATCATTCTCCTAGGGTTGGGAGAAGCACGCCCTCAAGATTAAGGAATTCAACTTTACCAATATCTTCATCAACGTTTTAAAAACGGGTTGCCCAGTGCACCCAGGGCCGTGGGCCCTTTTTATATTTTTAAAGAAACCCCTAAGGGCAAATGGGGTAATTTTTCCCCCCCAAAAATTCTTAAATAGATTATGACCTCAAAGTAATTTTAAAAAAAATCATAAACCCTAAATCAATTAGCCATACGTATTTCTGATAATCGACAAAATTTGGATGTTGGACTTTTCGCCTTTTTGGACTATTGATTATTTGGTTTTATACTTTTGTAACTGTGGTGAAGACTTGGAGAGTTGGAGACCATGTGATTAGGGAATATGGAGAGTTGGAGACTATCATTCATACAATTATAAACTATAGACTTGTAGACTTCTAACTTTTTAAGTTTTTTCACTAAATTTTCCGTTATTTTAAGTTTTGAACAGGTTTATTCTAACATGCAATATGTTTATATGAAAAAAAGTTAGAACAATAGATATAACTGCAAAAACAATACAAAATTAACACAAATATATGCATATATGGGTATTTGGACGCGCCCAAGGTTCTAGGCATCTATCTAGGCACCCATCTAGGCACTACGAACTGGGCGCCAAGTCTGCCACCTAGGTGTTTTTTTAAAACTTGATCTTTTTCTCCACTTTGTTCTAACTAAAAACCTTCACAGTTTTATTGTTGAACTTAAACATGTTGTGATACGCCAAAAAAGCCATCTAATCCTGAGAGGTCAATAGCAATGGCAAAATCTCTTGCACCTCCTACCACTTGTATTTGATGCCTTACAACATAGTTTCAAAAAGTGCTAGGTGGCACCCAGGCAGCCATGGGGGTCCAGGCCGCCCACCCAACGCCTAGGCAGGCGCCCAAATCCTGGGCAGCCCAGTTGAAAAAAAAAAAACTGATGAGTGATGACTGATAATGATTAATCCATAAGAATTTTGATAATCCATAAGACCATAATCCCAGTTAAAAAAAAAAAAAGATAGAAGTCCAGAAGAGAATTTCGATAATCCATAAGACCATAATACATATTTTCATACAATGCTAAAACAGTAAAACCATACAAGCATACATTGATAGTTTGATACACTGTCAACTGTACACACAAAAGTTAGATAGTAGAACTAGAAACTAGAAAGTAGAAAGTAGAAACTAAAAATAAGAAAAATAAAATATACAGAAATTCAAAAAATATATAACACTCAACACAACAGTCAACACTCAACACCAAGAGTCTTCAATCACCATCATCATCAGAAGGAATAGGGTAAGCTTCATCATATGCATCTGAATCGAGGCCATCATCATCAGAGTCATCTTCCTCTTTAACAGAACGCTCATCCTCCTCTGTTTCTTCTGAATCTGCCACTTCCTCCTCTTCTTCTACCTCTCTCTAACTAGTATGTACATATGAGGCCCTAGAAGTCTTGGATACTCTACCCTTTTCTATCTTTTTGTTATTCCTTGAACTCAAATATTGTATAATTTCCTCCCTGATAGCCTCAGGAACATTTTTACACAAGGCAACATCCCCCTTAATACCAGCAAGGTGTTTTTTAAACCGGTAAATGCCCCCATTAGTATCTTTTCTACAATAATTACATTTAATATGATTTTTGTCATTCGGATTGGGGTTATAACCATACTTCCAACCCGGATCACCACTTCTAGAAGAACTTGGAGAAGATATTTCCGTAGAAAAAGGCTCATTTTCATCATTTTCTGGTTCTTTTAAATTCAGAAATTGTCTAATCTCATCCCGAATAACTTCGAAAAAACTTTTACAAAAAGCAACAATCCCTTTAATACCAGCAAGGTGTTTCTTGAATCGGTTAATACACCCATTGGTATCTTTTTCACAAAAATTAAACCTTATACAATTTTTATCATTTGGTTTTGGGTTATAACCATACTTCAGAAATAGATCTATTCAAATTGACAAGGATTTTGTTCTTGTTTTTGTTTTACAAAACTCATTATTGTTTAATCTCCTCGCTAATAGCTTCAAGAACATTTTTACAAGGAGCAACATCTCCTTTTCTACCGGCGAAATGTTTCTTAAACCGGTTTATGCCCCCATTCGTATCTTTTTCACAAAAATTGCATCTAATGCAATTTTTGTCATTTGGATTCAGGTTATATCCATATTCCAACCCGGATCTCCACTTCAGCTAGATCCTGAAGAAAACATCTCAAAATAAAACAAACAATCTAAAAAATATATTTTTGCACTTACTTTGATTACTCAAACTCCAAACTCCCACCTCTGAGATGTTTTCTGATGCTAAAATAATAAAAAACACCCTCTAATAGGATTATAAAACTACAAAACTAAATCAAATCTACCTAGGCGATATTTGCATCTGTTTTCCGTAACTTTAAGAAACACTTTGATCCAATAAAAGTACAAAATTGAGTTTTTTTTATGTTTCTTTCTCTCTAAAATGGATTCTTGTGGGTTTAAGTTTGAAATGAACCTAAAACCCATCCTTCAATTTATATTACAAAAAAAATCAATACAACGAAAAAAAAATTTCCACCCCTAGGCAGGGCACAGGCCCTAGGCGGCCGCCCAAGGACTGCGGCCTAGGCCTAGGCAATGCGCCCAGGCCTTCTATACCGCCTAGGCACTGGGCGGTCATCTTTTTTGAACACTGCTTACAACCAGTTCAACTTTTGAAGCATGTTGCGATGTTTGATTAATGCTTCGATCAGAGATTGATATTTCATCTTCCACCAGTCCATATTCTTCTTCTGCATATTACGTTAATATATAAAGCAGTTATTGTACTGCTTGTTACATTAACTTGCCAAGGCTTTCATTCAATTCTATTTGGACACTCAAATATTTTGAATTTTGATCCATGAGCTCCAAAAATGGATTAATAGATGCCTCTGATAGCATCATGTTATACAAATCTCAAGGCTCAAATATCACTTGATTTAGGGAAGAGGGAAAAATAAAAATAAAAAAAAGCAAGAGAATTTACCCCATCTATTAGTCTGCAAGGGAGTCCACTCCATCCTAAAAGTTGAGAGATTTGACACTCTCCAAGCTTGTAAGGAAGTCGTCATCATCATCATCAAAGCTTTTTTCCAACTATTTGGGGTTGGCTACACGAATCCTAATCCGCCAATCTGCTCTATCAAGGGTCACACCCTCAATAAGGCCACAAGTTCCAATATCTTTTCTCACTACTTCCAACCATGTCCTTTTGAGCCTACCTCTTGCCGAACTAACTCGTACCTCTTAATAGGTGTTGTGCTAGGTATGTGTTGCACATGGCCAGCCCACCTAAGTCTACTTTCTCCCATCTTATCGCCTTTGAAGCCACACCGAAGGCATGTAAGGGAATCCATCCCAAAAAATTTCCTTCACAAGACCCAAAAATTAGTTCTTCTTCTTTCCTTTTCCTTTTCCTTGTCCAACGCTTACATAGGTCTATAAAAAAAACATAAAACCCTAAATTGCCCCATAAGTATCCCCAATAACAAAAATAAAAGACTCAATCACCCTTAAAATATCTAGAATACTAAATGACCTAGTCCCTAAAGTCTCTGCAAAATCTACAACAGACCAAACCACCCTATGTCTTCTAAGAAATAACCCCCTAACCACCAAAAAGAGACAAAACACTACATCGACTTTGATACTTAAACACCTACATTCTGCAGATACTTTTCCTCATCACAATCACCAGTCTATATGAACGCGTTCCATCTTTGCAAGTCTACCAGCAGTTGGATACATTCAGGACACCCATCTTTGCTCCCAAGATCCCATATTCATCATGTGTTTGACAATCAATACAAGTACGAGAGCCACCCCCATAATTTTAATGCAGCAACTGAACTCAAAGCCATGGTACACAATACCAGCATCCAGCAAGTCCAGAGTCCACCACGGCAGCTATCTCCAGCACCCATTCGGAATTTAACTTTAGACAATAAAATTTCCTTTAGTATTAATAAAAGAAATCATTTTTATCGCCAGGAAAACAAGCATATTACAAGAAAGTAAGACATTGAGCAATTGCTCATATACTCTGTGGTTGCAGCATATTCTTCATATATACATGAACTACAGGTTTTTTTTTCTTATTCTCTACGAAAATTGTCCAAAAAAGGATTATCAACAATGAGTCACATCTGATTCAGAAGGCAAATCAGTCTCGTCTAGGCCGAGGAGTACCTGGACTCCTCCCATTCACCACATGGCCAGTTACTTAATTGAGTTCTACTAACACGATTTTAGCAAAAGCATTCCATAACTAGCTTCAAACAACATAAAGCTATTCTTACTGTCCAATCCTTCAAGAAACAATATATCAAGCTATTAATGCTTTGCTAATGACTGTAATGCAGAAAGCTGAGTGTGACACGATACAGATATTTCATTTATTGCCGACAAAAAGTAAAACAGCAAGGGGCACACCCATCACAATATCATCAAAGCATATGCAATCGTGCAAATTATCATCAAATCATATCCTCTCATAACATATTATGCTTCACATGTGATCCTATAAAATAGAAGAAAACTAGTTCAATTAAAAGCATCTCCCAATAAAATAAAAGGATATGGACACTACTACCTCTGAGAATATAACAGCACACTGCCAAGAACAAAGACAGGGCATAGACACAATGCCAGTGATGCATGCATAACACAACAAACAAGTCAAAAGAAAATTTTCATGCTATCCATGTTAACACTTAAAGCTGATGACTTCGCTTAATAAATGGTAGACAAAGATGAGACAATACCTATAAAACTCCTCAATAGCACTGATAGACATCTTTCGCAGGCGTTCTTCAGACCAAACCTTACTTTCAGAAGCAATGCTCTGAGCCACAGCTGTAGAACTTTGAGCCCGCCCCACACCTCCCCCAGATGACGAGGGTCTATCAAATTGTCGATCCCCAATCCTTGCATCCCTGATAGGGGCTGATGTATTTCGATCATGATAATTTGATTGGTCATGAATGGGAATTGGCAAGTTTCTATCGGGGACAAAATTCCTAGGTATAGTTTCCTCCCGAGCACTACCATAAGGTGACCAATCCGGTGTAGAATGGAAAGAGCTGTATCCATTTGAACCGAACCCCATTCTTCTGTTGTCCACACCAGGAGCGTCTGCAGACCCGCTTGGCAATGATTGTTGTCCTCGAATGGACATGCCCCTTGCAAGGCCACCTTGTGGACCAAGAGTAATGGAATCATCATCTATAGGCCTTTGTGGCAATGGAACTGATGGTCCCCTATCAAAAGAATGTCGATCCTCAAACCGAACATCTTGAGCACCATATGTACGCTGAGGAAGGGGCATCCCCCTTTGGCCACCCATTGGTGCGACTCCAGGCGAAGCCAGTCCCGGTATCCCTCGGGACCCATAATCAAGTGAGGATTGGGGTCTCCTCGTTGATGAACCAAGGCTTGGGCCACGAGCAAGCCTAGTGGTTTGGGCCTGGCGCTCTTGTGCTGCATCTCTATGCACCTCCTCAATCTTCTTAGGCCCCTCAACTTTCCTCCTTTGTTGCCATCTGTTCTTCCTTAGGTCAATTGAATCCTTCAACATAAACCTAACCCTAGATGACAACTTTTGGTTGTTTGATAGCATCCCCATCCTGTCAAAATAGGCGTCCATGTGCTCCTTTGCTTTGGGGTGGTCGATGATCTCCCCTATCGTGCTCATCAATTTACAGAGGGCTTCAATGTCTTCCTCGTCAGGGTTATGAACTTGGCCAAGCAACTTCTTTATGCACTCGTGCATAATTCTTTCAGTAAGCATCTTCTTCTTGTAAAGCTCTCCTATCAATCTGATATTGCCCAGCATCCGCCTCCTTGCTTGGATCCTCTTCTCCTCTCTCTCCTCATCAGATAGCTTTGCTTCTCCCTCTTCTTCCACCCGATTAGCTTCTGCTTGCTCTCTCTCGCCCCTCTCAAACTCCTCCTGGCACTTATTAAGAAGCAATCTCTTAAATGTAATCTTCTCATTGTCCTCGCTAAAATCAGGTAACTCGCCAGCCAGATGGAAGCAGAAGTTGGCATACATCTCACAAAAAGTTGGTTCCATCAAAGCTTTGTCAAAAATCTGGTTTATAACCCCTTTGAGGGTGACTGCATTGTCAATGTTCACTTCCTTGACCTGTTCAAAGAGTTTCTCAAAGTTTTGAGGGGTTAGCTTGTTCAGAATGCCCTTAAGTTGCCTTTGTTTTTGTTCTTCCTCGTCTGTGACTTTACCTACTTCATACCTCTTCTCAGCTTTGTGAGCAAGAGCAGTATGAGGAGCAGGCATCAAACCTTTCTGAATTCCAGGCGTACGCTGCCACCTCTCAGCATCAGAGCTATTCCTTTGTAACCCATGAGCTGCCAAAGACTGCATTGGGCCCGAAAGAATCCCGCCAGCATATTGAGGGGACAATTGCCCACGTGGGTTCCTCAAAACTCCAACATTTCCCCCTTGAGACCTGAAAGAAGCAGCAGGACCTCCATGACCCACATCAATTCGAGGGTCACGACCTGAAATAAATGGAATAGGTGCTTTCGTCCATCGATCGTCATCCACTACACCACTGGTTCGACGCTCAATCCGAGAACTACCAGGTGATGGCCTATCCAAGATCCTTCCTGAACCTGCATATGACTCACGATCACTTGTGTGGATCGAAGGCACTTGAGTAGTCAGTAGAGCATCAGCTATATCGGCCAAAATTTCAAAACCAACAGGAAGGTCCTTGCATACTTCCGAAAATGTCAAGAGGAAATCTCTAGAGTACTTTTTACTCGAGAGGCCACCCCCTGATTCATCTGACCCATGAGCATGCTCACCATTTTTCAGCTTGGGGCTAGAGATCTCAGCTGCATCTTCCCAGTCTTCCAGTTCACCTTTGCTCTGAGTATCTTCCTCAGTTGCTGGAATTTCCTTCTCAGTATCATCTTGTCGAGTTTCGAGACAAGTGGAATCTTCAATAATTTCGGAAGTGGGGACAGCCTCCTGCTTTTCCTCTGGTTTGTAAGCCGTATATAGATCAGAGTTCGAACCAGCAGCATCTGCCTTTGAAAGGATATCCTTTCTCCACTTCTTCCTGCCCCCGAAGTTCTTTGCCTTGCTCTGTTCAGAGGGCTTATCCTTGGAGCCCAGAGATGAACTAGAGATCAAGACACCACTAGTACCCTCTACCCCTCTGCCTTCTAACTTTTTAACAGGTTCATTTGAGCTAGGGATTGGAAAAGAGGCCAGTCCCTCAGATGGCCTACTGGGGTCCAAGACTCTATCATCTCTCTCAGTTGCATCATTGGAATCTCCAATTTCAATGGCATCTGAAACATCAACATGACACACAATATGAGAAGATTCAGATATAGGTGCTTCAATTGAGGTTTGAGAACCACCCTTCCCATGCTCAAGGTCTACACTTTGAGAGAAAACTTCTGAGCTTGCTGATGCTTCCAAATTGAAACTTTCCTCCTCAAGTTCTCGACCTGATGGCATCGGCACACTCTCTTCACGCTCTTTATCTACATTGGAACCTATCCGTGGAGCTGACACTGTGGGCTCGTCACTGTTCTTTTGCATCTGATCAGTCAAACTTAGATTTTCCAGGTTACTACAGATGTCTGGTCGGCTATCAGATACTGGACAACCATTTTGAGTACGATCAATGGTTTCAGACCCCATTTGCTTTGCCAATGCAACAACACCTTCTTCTTGCTCACAGTCAGCTGAAACAATTTCCTCAGGCTTCACAGACTGTACATTTCCAGAATCTTCAGAGTTGATTCCCTCACCTTCAAGACCAGAACGCATTGATGGTTCATCAGGACCTCTTTTCCCATCTTGTAATTCATCTCGAGCAGCTGCCTGATCAATTTGTGAAATTTTCCCAGACCCCAATGTCCCTTTCGAGACCCCTAAATCTTCTTTAGCCTCCAACTGGCTGTCACCTTCAGAGACAGTATTAGCCTCTGGATTTAAAGAGGGAGGAGGCAAGCTTGGTGTGGAGGTCACAAGGGTCTCAACCCCCTCTGAAGTAACAGGTTTAGAACTTGTCTCGGTTAACCGTGTGTCAGTGTGTTTATTTAAGGCAGAGGACTTCAATACACCAGAAGATTCAAGCGCCTCGATATGTGCCTGACCAACCCAAACCATGAAAAGGCATAGATGCATACTAACTCAGAACCATGAGCTAACTTTCAAAATAGAAGACCCATGACTAAAGAAAATGGAATAGAAATTTAGGAAAACATAATACCTGATGCTGATGCTGAGGATACCGCTGCTCTTTTTTGTTACCCTTCTTCTGATGGTCCCTAGAGGAATCGGATCTTTTGAGAGGCTCTCTTTTCCTGCCCTCTGTAACTGTGACAACAGAACTTGCCTCCTCAAAAGGGGCAACCAGATCAGGAGAAGAAACATTTTGGGGCTCCCTTTGTGCTAAAACAGATGCACCCTTAACTCCAACACCCAACAAGCTCGAAGCACCCGAACTGGGAATACTAACTGTGGTAGAAGTGTTTGGTAAAGCCCCATCCAAACCCTTTTGTCGATGAGAAGAACCTGACTCCTCAACCTTCCAAGATTGTTTGTTTGGTTCCTTATGGAGAGCTGAAACATTACTAGGGGGCAAAGATTGAGAAACAGGAGCTGATGAATGGGAAATGGGATCTGTAGACTGAGAAACAGGGGTTGAAGAGTGAGAACCAGGGGTAGAAGTGGGTACTGAAGAGGTCACTCCCTTATCCTTTGCCGGCCTCACAGTTACATTCACAGAAGGCACAACAAGGGGTGCTGATATTGAAAGAGTAGAAACCTCATGAGCCAATGTTTCAACTTGTTCGGAGGCACCATGAACCGTTGGCCCCGATTTGCTCATAGCTAAGGGGTTGAGAGAAGGGTTCATAAAAGAGACAGTTTGGCCACTGGAGAAGTTGTATCTTGGAGCCGAGGACCCAGGATTGATCTGGGTCCCAGTCAATTGGTGTGTAGTTTGGGCCGGGTAAAATATAGAAGGGGTATAAGAACCCGGTTGCATTGCCTGATAGTAGCTCATCGAATGAGCAGAGGCAAAAGAGGGAAGGGCCTGAGATGGAGGGGGAACATTAGCATGTCCCCTACCAAGCTGTTGTGTGGGCCCAGAAGAAGCCACCTCAGGAAAAGAATCCGACCGTTTATCCAGCCTCAACTCTTCATGGGTATCAGGATGAGTTATTTTTACAGCTTTCCGAGGAGCAACAAATTTATTTGGCTGAGTCTGAGCAAACTGTGAAGTCATTCCCATTCCCAAGTTGCCCCCAATAGCTGTTCCAAGCTGAGAAGCCATTTGTGGAGAAAAGCCCAAGCTTTGTCCCTGGTGCATCATACCCTGTGGAGGCTGAAGATGGTGGGTCTGCAAGCCCGATACAAAGACCTGTTGCTGAACAGGTGGGGCATTTCCCACCTGTAACTGTAATGGCACTGGCAAAGCGTTAGTAGCGATGGCTTGTGACTGGATCTGAGAGCTTGGGACATTGAATTGGACAGGGAGTTGGGGTTGCTGAAAATGATGGGGCATGGATAATCCAGAGATTGGAAGAACAGAGGACTTTTGGGTCACAGATGGAACATGGCTTTGGTTATCCTTCTTTATTTGAACAGGTGGGCGTGGCTCCCCGGAACTGGTTTGGGTGACCATTGGATCCCTCCGCGGTTGCTGTTGCTGTTGCTGCTTTGGAGCCGAAGCGATCGGAATTGGAGGTGCAGCTCTGGCAGATTCATGACGAGCCTGCATAATTTAATTATTTTCTGGTAAGAAACATATAAATCAAACAAACCATTCCCCTCAAATATTCATAAATAAAATGCAATAGAATCTTCTCTCAATCATGCTGTTTATCTCAAACTAATTAAAACTTTAAAAGTGAACTCTCAAGCACCTTAAAGAACAAAAAGGAAAATGTCCTATGTTTTCAACACAAACCTGGTCACGTTTCTGCTCGTCTAGGTTCGGAGGTGCCGAGCTAGTCCTTGCAGGAATCTGTGAAGCGAGAATTTCATTTGTGTTCGGATTCTTAGATAAAAGAGCAAGAGAACATAAAAAAAAATCCAAGGAAATAGTATAGAATAAAAAGCTCATGCAAACAAAGAGCATGGGAAGAGGAAAATGGAAAATACCTGCATCCAATTGCTGGGACTTAGAGTACCAAACTGCAGCGGAAATGTTCTAGTCATGTCACCTGGTGTCATGCCACGGTAAAAAAAAAATTGTAGTTATAGAATTGTTGTCTACATGGCAACAAAGAAAGAAGCTGAAGAGAAAACCAATTGCAACATATGGACTTTCATTGTAATTGAGCGAAAAATACGTGCATGCAAAAACCAGGCCAAACAGAAGACCCTTGTCTGTGATCCATTAAAAATGATTCTTTCCAACAATCCAATGAAAAAAAGAAACAAACCAGCATTCTGGCAGTAAAGGTGTTCTTTTACTTCTTTTTGGTGCTTTGATTCTCTATTTTCTTGATTCTCTTAAGAAGCTCGCAATCAAGTGATAACCAGAACTTAAGAGAAAGAAACAGACCTGTCGGTTTGGTGGGCGTTTGGGGTTCTGGGGTGGGAGTAGAAGACTGAGAGGTTGGAGCCCTCGGCAGGGGCCGACCAGGTCTAGGGACCACCGGATCACTTGACTTTGAAGCTCCTGTATCAGGTGCTCCTACAAAGAAACCAAAAATATTTAATACAATAACCCGGCTACAAAAAGAAGACGAAAAAAAAAACCGAACAAAAATAAAAAAACCAACATTGAAATCTTGGGTGCGGTCTAGAACGGTGTTGGATACTCTTTTAGGGGATTGTACAATTAAATGGTGGAGAAACCAGGAATAATTGATTAGAACCCAGGGAACAAAAAGAAGAAGAATTTCTTTACACTATCACATACACCAAACTGATTAGGCGTTGGGATGGAAGTAGAAGCAACAGGGAGGGAATCTTACCAGGCAATGTTGGCCCAAGCTGCTGGCTTTGGACATGCGCACCATTAGGCACCACACGAGCAATGCCAGAATCAGGATTCCCACTTGTAGGGTTCCCTCTGTATTGTCCACCTTGTCCATTAGACTTTTTAAACCTAACAAAACCCAAACACAACAACAAGATGAAAAACCAAGGGATAGAGACGGCAGATAGAGATAAAGAGAGAGAGAGAGAGAGAGAGAGAGAGAGAGAGGAGGAGAGAGAAGAAGAGACTACTTAAGTTAATATAACGTAACGTAAGAACTACAACCAAACGAAAACGAAAACTAAATTATTATACGTAAAAGTAAAGT